GTTTAGCAAAGTGGTGCTTCTTGGGCTTTAGGCTTTCCCCTCTGTCTTCAGTACAGACTCCAGTCTCAAGAAACTAGAGAAATTAAATGTTCTTTCCTTGCCAAGGCACATTAATGGAACACAGAATGTGATGTCTGTACTTATGGGGGAAAAGCCTATTGCTAAAGTAAGAATTTCAAACCTCACAACCTCTGAGAATGCCTGCCAAAGATACAGGCAAAAAGTCAGGAGAGAATGCTTCTGCAACATGGCCATACAGCCCGGAAAGCTCACAACAACCCAGTGATTCTAGCCATGAAAGCCCTCGACAATACATTGATTTGGTCATTCATTGTAAACACTTGGAAACTGTTGTGGGATATATTCAGACATAATGGCAAATCAAGGTTATGCTTTAAAACACATGATCAGTTGTGACCTTTGGGCTTCCATATTTCCCATTGTCTCTCCCACATCAGTTCATATTTAAGTTCAATGTTCTGGTAAACTATAGTTTACTGTTTTGTTGTAATACAGCAAACTATGGTTCCTGCATAACAGATGTTGCTTATAAATAGAGTGATGGGTTAAACAATTTTGACTTTTCACATTGTGGTAATTGGCTTAGAAATTGTAACATTCAAAGAAAAGAGGGAGAACTGAGCTCATTGCTTTTCATGCACAAACAGTTAAACCATGATTTGGCATTGCAGTGGAATGTCCCTGGTGTAATATCATAGTTTGTATGTAGTAGCAGAAAGTTATGAATTCATGAAAATTGCCAATGCAAATGGTCAACCTAAGTAAATGAAATAATTTAAAAATGAAAATGATTGTCATGCTGGGATTTTAATATTAACATTGCTACAGATTTAAGTTATTACTGAAGTAAATGAGTCATACTGCCAGAGAGCCAACACATTTCACATTGACCAGTTGATTCTTTACCTAAAACCTAATTCTCTTGGAGTTTTGCAAAAATCCTAACTTTTAGGGATGAAATAAAAGGTTTAGATTAGAAACAGATTCATAGAGTTGAAAAAATCACAAGCGACATCAAGTCCAAGCTTTAGCCATGCAGACACACACAATCAAATCACTCCTGACAGATATCCATTCAGCTTCTGTTTAAAAACCTCCAAGAAGGATAGTCCACCACCCTTCAAGGAAGGATATTCTCTTGTCAAACAGTTCTTGTTGGAAATAGCAACCTTCACTAGTAATTTGTTTGTATATGATTTTGTTTGCTTACAGTATTGTATGTGTGTATTTTGGTATGCTGCTTTCCCTTTAATCTATGTTTCTTGAGGTTGTGGGAGGGGCTGCAGACCATATGATCATATCTGAGACTGCTCAGGGCTCAGATTCCATTTTAGAGCACAGATTCCATTAGACTTTGCACTGTTAAGAGCAAACTCATGTTGCTGTTGATTGTAAGAAAGATGCCCTGTGTTATCTGCACAGAGAAACCACTTCAAATCCATCTGTAATTGGATTGACAAATTATGTACCTGTATGCTGAAAACATGAAGGTTGTGAGTAAACCAGATATGTTACTTTTAACAAAGTCTATTTTATTTTTGTCTCTTGAGAGCATGATATAGAAACAAGATCTTTTATGGGAGAGTAGATTTTTTGGGCACTGAAAAAAAAACGCTTTTGTAGAACTGCTATATTTTGTGCATTGGCATAATCTCTGTTTCTAACAGATCAGAAACAACCAGGTTATCAGTCTAACAACTGAAAACCAAATTGCCTTTCATAAATACATGTGGATATATACCACTAAAGAAAGGGCAATGAGAGGAGATTACAAGATAGGGAGGTTTTCAAAAATCCATGCAAATGTTCCCTTCTCTCCAAAGTTTGAAGAAGGGAACAAGGGGTTGAAAAAGGATTTCCCCATTTCATTATGATTTTTCAACTTTATTCTTTCAGTAGACGTAAATTCAAGGAGCACATTTAAAATTAATGTAATTATTTAAAACAGCCTCTTTCCAATGTAATACATTTGATTTAGGTTTTCTCCTCTTATAATGGTTAAGTTAATATGTTGATCCTTTCCCCATTAATGCTGCCATCTCTGACTCTATGGTATAGTAGAATATTGGATTGACATTTGATCAAACCTTTGAAATGACAATTTTGCTTTTTACTACTTATACAATATAACCAAGATATCAAGTTACTTGTTACAGCTTGGGAGTTTCTGCAAAAATGTGTCTTTGAACTAAGAAACTGTTTATGTAACCAGTTTATATCTGAATCTTTTTTGTTTATCTGTGTGAGATCAATTCACTTGCATGAACTTCAATCACACGTAATTGGGTGCAGGCCTTGATGTGCAGTGTTGATGTCATGATACTTTGAGACATTTGAAATATAAATAGACATGATTTGGAGACATGTAACATATCCACTTCGGAATTACCTGTAAAACATCTTGATCTATATTGTCACAGCAATATAAAGCAAAATTTAATATTTAAAAACTTGCATGTTATGGTTTGTGCATTTTGACTGGCCAGTAAAAGTATCATCCCCTTGTGGATTTTGGATTTTATTTTTTATTTTGCTATATGGCCAAAACAGCTCCCCTGAATATGTTTTGATATTGTTTCAGGATTGAGAGGAAAGAGCAAACTCAGTAAATCAGCAAGAAGGGGAGACATTGTTTGGTTCCAAGTTGTGGACATTGCAAAAAGAGAGGCAATTAAGCTCAAAAGTAAGTCTGAAAAACTGTTAACTCACAGTTTCATAACTATTTAATAGTCAAGCCTATTCCTATATATCACAGTACACTTAATTGTTCCTATTAAATTCAGAATGATTTCATCACTGGGGGTTCAGAAATATAGCTTAGATTTATAACAGTATGGTATTTTGAAAGTATATGAGTCAAAACACTTTAATGAAATCCAAGGTGAAAAATTGATCTCCCTCTTTTGCACCATAGGGCTTGTGCAGTTATACCTTGGGTTGAGCAAAATACCTGATTAGTTCAAGAAGGTGAGGTTAGATAATTCATTTAACACAGGTGCAAATAAGAACACAGAGTCAATTCCATGGTTTTTGAAAACCAAAATCAGTTTTTCTTACATAATTGTTCACTTTGTTTCTGCCTGTTGTGCTTTTGAGATCTGTTTTTCCCCAGGGAGAGAATGATGCATTTCTGTTTCATCTTCTCTCTGATAAATTGAAGTGTGTCAGCAGACAGAGTACTGTGGAACTGAGTCATTATCATCACAGAGAAAATGAAATAAAAATAGTAATTGCTTATATGTGGGAAACTGACGTATTTTAACAAACCTTGTATAGGAAAAAAAGTCTTTTATATACATCATATATATCCGAGTATACATTTGGTGGGCATTTTACTCATGTTATATATTCACATATATACATCACCAATAAAATGCTCACTCAAGTGTGAAAATGTGGAGTAGCTGCATTGTTAGGTCAAAATTTGTTTATTTATTTATTTGCTTCATTTATACCCCACCTTTCTCACCCCACAGGGGACTCAAGACGGCTTACAACTCTGGTAACATTTAGTGCCACTTGAAACATAACCATAAGACATATCCTATCAACTAAAAACAATTAAAACAGTTGAACAAATAAAACATATAGAACAATAAACAGATTAAAAACGTAAAGTGCATAATACCATTTCCCCATAATCCTTGCTCATAATCCTTGTTCAAACTGTGTTGAATCCATAATAACTTATTCTTCAAATGCTTGTGTACAGAGCCAGGTCTTTAACTTTTTTTCTGAAAACCAGAAGAGATGGGGCTTGCCTGATGTCGCTGTGGAGGGAGTTCCACAGTTGGGGGGCGCCACTGAGAAGGCCAGGTTTCTTGTTCCCACCAATTGTGCTTGCGAAGGGGGTGGGACTGAGAGCAGGGCATCCCCAGCCGATCTTAAAGCTCTTGTTGGCTCATAGGAGGAGATGCGTTCGGACAGGTAAGTTGGACCAGAACCGTTTAGGGCTTTATAAGCCAACTTTGAATTGGGCTTGGTAGGAAACTGGCAGCCAGTGGAGCTTACGGAACAGAGGAGTAGTGTGCTCCCTGTACACCGCTCCAGTTATGTTGGATCCATCGTTCCAAATTCAGACTGTCACAATTTAAGACACAAGTGAAGAGCTATCTCTTCTGTCAGGCCTACTCAGACTATTTGAATGACACATCTTAGATTTACATCTTATGTTTTTATCTTTTGTGTATTTTAATATGTATTTTGTGGAAATATATTTGAATATGTGTATTTAAAGAATGTTTTTAGATGAATGCGTGTTTTAGCAATGTTGTAACCTGCCGTGAGGGGAGGCGGGCAAGAAATACATTTATTATTATTAAACCCACAGTGGATTTTTTTTGTCTCACTGACATATCAATTATCATCAACAGGAAATAATGTATTATTTCTTCTTCCTTGTACTTGTGACTTACACATTTGGGATGTTTTGTACCTGTGCAGCAGGAATTGGAAACCTACCATAGCTTTTCAGCAGAGTTTTTTTTTTTTGAGGGGAAGGCATCCCTGTGCTTTTCTAGTGTTAATGTCTAGGTACAATTTGTGTTCAAATCCTCAAATTCCTTTTAATTGCCACAGTATGAAAGGTGCAGAGGTTCCTATTCTAACTGCTGAGACTGCAGTGGCTGAAAAGGAAATAATGGTGTCAGGTGCATGCACTGGAAAAGAGCAGGCCTACTACCAAAAAACTCATCTGAAAAACTGTGGTAGGTTTTTTAAATTGATGCTGCTTAGTCTATCCCAATTATGTGAGTTCACAGATAAACACTCAAAGAACTACAGTTTCATGTAAGCAATCTGTCCTTCCTAAAGTTTGGAACCCAATGGAAATAGTAAATATAGGAGTGATAACTATTCTGTTATGCCAGAGATATCCATTCCATTAAACTCAGTGAATTATGACTAAGCCCCATGGAAAAAATAATGTTCAGTCAAGGTTCACTGCCTGTTTATCATCTCCTCTTTTGTTTGTTTTTAGAATGGGTAAAAAAGTAAAAAAGGAAGTGGAGCCTCCTCCCAAGGATGTGGTAAGTTTACAAAATACTGTTCACTGTAAAAAGAATTGCACAATTACAATCTTCAAGTTTGCTCTCCTTCATAGTCTTGTACTCCCACTTACTTCCTCTTATGCATCTAAAAACGTCTTGTAAAGATAACATTTTTTGGAGTTGAGCTGTATGTGGGTAAACAGAGCAACCAACCGCATCTATTTTATAAAGACTCTTATCGTCTGAATTTTGTAAATGTAGAAAATAGACTTACTCTAAAAATTGTTTGCTATTTCATTAGTTAACATCCAAGTGCCGAGATAACTTTGACAGGAATTAGGGTAGAGTGAACTTGAACTGGAAGTAGGGGATACTATTTCTCCTCTGCCTCACACAGTAGAGATGTGAATATGTGATAGAGCTATTACTTTTGTGGCATATATGTCGGAACCCAGACGCCTTAAAGAGCCTAACACAACAATGTAATCAAAACAACAGTTTATTAAATTAAAGCAAACAGGACTCAGAGACACTTGCTTCAGTGCCTCTGGTCAAAACTCAAAGTTTGCAGCAATTTGCAGCTTGAAAAACGAACTTGGAAAATAAACCAGATTACACTGACAAAAAATCCGGATTAAACAAGAGTTCAAGCAAAATGCACCAAAAACACACAGTTCAAAGATAATGCCCAAACAAGAAGCCGTGAAGAGAAGCTGTCATCCAAAAGCAGTCCAAAGTTGAAGGAGTCCCAGTTGACGATATCAGAGTCCAGACGATAGCGTAATTGTCAGAAACAATCTGAGGTCAAGGAGAGGGGAAATCCGCACTTACGAGAGTCCAGTCTGGTCAGAGCACGAAGAAACACAGCAACCTGCAGTTCCAGGACCCAAGCTCAACAAGAGAAGCGGCAGGGACAGAACCCAAGGCACGAAACCAACACTCCCTACTGCAAAGTTCTATCACTTCAGTGCCTTCATTTATCCTACAACTCATCATCCATTGATGAGTTGCCCTCCACCTCTTCCTCATCGCTGTCAGATGGCTTAGCCTCTACAGCTGAACGCCAACGCTCATTTCTCCAACTCTTCCACCTTTTGTCAAGACTTAGATCACCCCACGATTCCATGGTATTATCAACTTGCCAATACCCTCCAGAAAATCCCTCAAAGGTGTCACTAGATGTAGGCTGTGTGCACACATTCCTGATTTCCTGAACTAGTGTCCACTCTAGTGGTTCCTCTTCTTCCTCACTACTCCCAGACCCATTACTTCCAGCAAATAACATGAAATCCTCATCCTCAGTGGGAGCAGTAAGTATGTCCTGGATCCTCTTTCTTTGACGCTCCTCGTCTGACTCTTGCTCCCGAGTAGTCCTCTTGAAACCCCTATTCCCATCTCCTTCCTCCTCCTCACTCATTTCACTGCCAGAGAAACCTTCGAAGCATTCCTTGTCTGTGGGTAACATAAGTATCTCCCAGATTCTCTTCCTTTGCTGCTCTTCATCTAACACCTGGGCACCTCATTTCCCTCCTCTACTACTCTTACTATCAGTTGTAATGTTGCCAGCAGACTCTACTACAACAATATGTGAGTAGCATTGTAGTGGATATCTAGTCCAGGTGATTTTTTTTATGGAAAATATAACAGGTATGCTATAAGTACACCCTAGTCTTAATCCTCAGGAATTTCCAAGACCAGAGCAGGGCAATTGATGTCTTCTTGGAAGTCTCTCACTCATAGGGTTGCCATAAGTCAATGTTAATTTGGTGGCAAATAACAACAACAAAGTAGGATAAAAAAAAGCTTGCCATGAGTAAGCATTTCCATTCAGCTTTGTTAAATGGCTCAGTTTCTCAAACCTTTCTGTGTAATTAATCACCCCGAAGCTTATGTGATTATAGCATGGAAAAAGATATGAGATCTGTTAGTAGGTATGATTCTTGGTTTAAGGCTATTTTGCAGTGCCATCATAGCTGTATTTTAAAAGGGACATCATAATATATAACTACTCAATAAAATTTCCAAATATTTGTAGTATCACACAGAATTGCATAACATAAAATTGCATCAAGACTTAGTTCAATTGAAATTAGTGGGATATGTAAGTAACAACAAACATTAAGGGCCCTTCCACACAGCCCTATATCCCAGTATATGAAGGCAGAAAATCTTCCAATATCTGCTTTGAACTGGGTTATCTGAGTCCACACTCAGATAATGTTGGATTATCTGCCTTCATATTCTGGGATATAGGGCTGTGTGGAGAAACCCTAGGTCGTATTGATATCTTTTTGTATGCAATACTTTGAAGATGCATAGTTTTATGATTTCCTTATCAATATGGGATTAAAAGGAAATATTTATAATATTAATACTTCATATACTGTATATACTTGAGTATAAGCCTAGTTTTTCAGTCCCCTTTATAGGCTGAAAAAGCCCTCCTTGGCTTATACTTGAGTCAAAGTTATTTATTATTGTACACTGTTATTAGTATTATTTTTATTTTATTATTTTACTCTATTTATTCTTATAACATTTACATTATTTTACTCTATTATTATCTTTATTACATTTATTATTTTACTCATTTTTATTATTATTACATTTATTATTTTACTCTATCATGACTGTTACCATTACATTTTCATTATTTTACTCTATTATTATTTTTATTACATTTATTATTTTACTCTGTGGTAAAATTAGGTGCCTTGGCTTATATTCGGGTTGGCTTATACTCAAGTGTATATGGTACATCTTTAAATAATTTAAACAGTACTTGTATGCATACTGAATTCGCAGTAGCTATACATGCTATTTACTGTTCTAGTACCTTGCAGAAGTATTATCCACTCCCTTGGAATTTGAAATGGCATAATTGCTACTTGATGTACACATAAGGTTGTCAGTACAGGATCATCTTGGGCTGTGGGATTTCCAGGTCAAAAAGAAATGAAGGGTTTTTTTTAATGTTAAGGTTCTTTGGGCTTTTGGGCCTTGCTGTAAAACATTATGTTTGACACAAAGTGAACAATGTTCTTTGCCCGGAGGACATCACCTCCAGATGAAGCATTGTGAGGACACTCGCGTTGTGGAGTATTTCTTCTAGAATGGGACTGTGAAAAAGGCCAGAACAAAACTGATGAAGCCAAATATTGAGCAATTCCAGAGGAAAAACTGTTCCAGTCTGCAAGAGACCTAGGACAGGGCAGTGCTCTTAAACATATAACCAGAGCAACACTGACTTAAAAGCCCCCTCGGGGTGAGAAGGGCGGGGTATAAGTAAATGAAATAAATAATAAAAGCGAGAACTTTAATATCTTAAGATGGCCCAGTTATATCCAATTGAGAATCTGTGTCAAGACTTGAAAGTTACTGTCTTTCCAACTTGACAGAGCAAAAATGATTTTGCCAAGAATGGGTAAACAACATGGCAAGATTGCTGCCAACGATTCTTCTTCCAAATATTGACTAATACACATGCAACCCATAAGTGCCAGTTTGATGTTTGTTTATTTAACAATGTTATGTATCTTGTGTATATGAAGTGGCAACAATGTCAGTTCCAGGATGTAAACAGAAGAAAATGTGGAAAACTGAGATGGGGGCGGTTTAAATATTTCTACAAGACAATGTAGAAGCATTGCAGAACCACGAACTAGAAAGAATGAAATTTCCAACACCTAACCTCCATTTTCTGAAAATGGATCTTGGAATATAAGTAGCAGCATAGATACAAGTTCAAGATATTCAAGGGGGTACAGTAAAAATGCTCAATTTTGTCAGTGTTTGAACGGAAAGCCTTCTGAAATGTTTGATTTCTAAACAAAGAGTCAAAGGCTTTTACAACATTTGCCCTTTCTTCAAACTGTGTCACTTTCAAACAGTCCCTTAAATAGGGTCAGAGCAGCTGGATTTCATCATGGAGTTCTCTCTGCTTGAGAAAGGTCAGAAATGGAAATGAACATTTTGCATCGCTTCCAGATGGCTGAACAGGAATCATGTCATCACAGTGCTTTGACCAGTCTGGCATCCTGGAGAGCTGGCCTTTGAGATATAAACTGATGTGAAGATAGCATAAGAAGGACTATCTATTTTTAAATCCACTGTACTCATGTGGAACATGCCACCTATGGCCAAATTCTGTTACCATCCTTGAATTATTTGAAGAGGTTTATTTGCTAGGATTATTTTCCAAAGAGAAGGGAGAGTTTGCTGGTTTTTCTGTAAACAGAATGACAAATTGAACTTGTGAGAAACTTCTTGGAATCTGGCTGTCATAGAACAAATAAGTATTTTTTTTAATTCCCTGAAAGGTTATTTAAATCCACAAGGGAGCTGTGATATCCTCCCAGCTTTCTTTGAATATGTGGAAACTCTTATTAAAATATCTGAAGCTATGAAATGTAACCCATCAAGCACTTCTGCTGTAGAAGTTCTGTTGATTTCAAATGGACTGTGTGAGGAAATGTATAGAATTTCTGGGTTGTGATAGGTTTTTTCGGGCTATATGGCCATGTTGTAGAGGCATTCCCTCCTGACGTTTTGCCTGCATCTATGGCAAGCATCTTCAGAGATAGTGAGGTCTGTTGGAACTAGGAAAATGGGTTTATATATCTGTGGAATGACCAGGGTGGAATGACCCCAACAGACAAGAGTTCTTTGTCCCACCCTGGTCTGAAGACTGTGGGAGGCACCAGGTTTCTAAGCCTACTCTAAATATTAATTCTGTGTATTATCCCATGCCAGACAGGGTCTAAGATAAAGGTCTTGAGAGATTCCATCTAGAAATATGTTGATCTCAGTGAACTTTGATTAGTTTTTTTTGGAGGGAATAATGATATACTTTTGCAAAGTGTTCCATAGCTGTATCATTACATACTGTGGGAGATCTAGCATGAATTGGATATCTTTATAACTTATGTAATATTTTCATTTTTGTTGATGGTGCTAAAAAACAAACATTGTTCCACCTACTCACGTCATTACGTTGCAATATTCTTGTATTGGAGCTACTCTAGGGGTCAAATTAGACAATATGTTAAGCAAGTATTTGAAACAGATACACCTTCAGGTCATGAAAGACTCTTCCTTTTCATAACACTTGACTAACCTCACCTATATGTCTTGCATTTAGAGTGCTTTGTTTAGTGATTAGACTTTGGGAGATAAATGCAAATTTAATTTACAAGTCTGCTTGCCAAAGCACATATTTCTAAGGAAACTCCTTTGTGAGAAGGAAATGTGTTAATTACACAGCCCTTTATTTATCCATCAAATGTGAGCTTATCTTAGTATCCTTACTCTTGTTTTGCACAGATGCCAGATGAAAGTGAATAATTGGTTTGTGTAATGGTGTGGTGTTTTTCCCTCTTTTGTTTTCTTTCTGCTTTTTCATTCCTTTGTATTAGTTGTATTCCACTTACTTTATGACTGCAGTAAACAGTGAACCAGATCTCTGTAATGAATAATTTGTTGTGCTCCCCATTCATGTTTTCTCTTGCGTTTTTGTGTGGGACTTTATGAGCTAACTGAGTAAAATGTATTTTAATGTTGGTTATGTGTGTGTCATATTTTGTATTTGGATTTACACTGTTCGATTGGATCTGTAAGTTCTTTGTTCATAACTTCATGCATTATTATTACATAAAGCCATAGATTTACTGATTTTGTAGATGGCGGGAATGCTGTGACTGTCATTGAGTTGGATTTCAGTAAAGCGTTTTATAAAGTTCCCCATGATACTCTGATTAACAAACCGACTAAATATAGAATACATAGACATACCATGAAGTGGATTCAGAGTTAGTTTGAAAATCATACTTGATAAGTATGGCTCTGCTTCACATTGGAAGGCAATCTCTAGTTCAGTGGTTCCCAACCTGTGGGCCACAAGACCTAACATAAGATCAGCGGCTCTAAATTATTAAATATGATTTTCTGTGGGTGAGCAGATGGCGACTACTGGATGGCATGTGTCTGTATCAGAAACTCGAGCTGATGAGGTCTATCCAATGCAATTTTTTGAATCAGCACCCCAAATAACCAAACCAAATCTAAAGTTGACCAAAAACTGATTTGTAACCCTTTTGCACTAAGGTTGGAGAGTGGTCCCTGGTCAAAGTGGTCCTTGGTCAAGTGGTCCCTGGCCAAAAAAGGTTGGGAACCACTTCTCTTGTCGAATGCCACAGGAACGAGGGCAGATACTTTTCAATATTTTTTCAATGATTTAGATGATGGGATAGACAAAATCCTTATAAAATTTACAGATGAAGGAAAACTGGGCAGGCTAGCACACACTTTGGAAGATAGGAACAAGCTTCAAAGGAACCTTGATAAACTAGCAAATGAACTAGAAAATGAATAAAATGAAATTCAACAGAGGCAGATAAAAAGCCTATGAAAAATAAAAGTAAAGATATAGGATGGAAAATACTACATGGGAAAAGAACATAGGGCTTATTGTTGATCAGACATTGAACAAGTGTTTGTCGCAGCTGGGCAGTGAGGACTCACTTCTGTCTGTGAGGTGCCCGATAGATTCCCAAGTAGGCTGAATCGGGAGTCTCTGCGTCTGGGATGCTGGATGAAGCCTACTTGGTAGGTCAGTAGAGAAGGGCCCCAAGTCTAATGGTTATGAGTTACAGGAGGGTATCTTTGGATTGAACATTAGAAGCAACCTTTTGACAGGGAAGTGGTTTGGGAATGGAACCTAGACAAGCAGTGGAGGGTCTCCTTCTATGGGTGTCTATTCCTTATGACTGAATAGCTGCCATCTGAGGAAATCCTGCAGTGAGCAAGGAGTTGGACTTGATGGTCCATAGCCTCCCTCCACCTTTGTGATTCTATGCTAAATAATTCAATACCTTGTCAGATGTACAGAGTGAGGGCTACTAGGTTTAAGAAGATTCTTACCTTTTGTTTTGTGCATGAAAGAAGCTGAAAGTCTAGGCATGTGAAGCCTTCAAGCATTTACTTTTGTATTGCAATCATCTGAATAGAACACACAAACATACAAAGGATAGTTTTTAACATAGGGAGAAGTTGTAATGGCAGTGGTGACTTTGTGACTCAGTGTGCTCTCTTTTGATTTCTTTGTGAACATGTCCAATTACTCTCGTTTAAATGAAAAGCTGTTAGCATAGTTTTAAAAGAAAAATTTGACAGAGTCCAGGCATTTCTTTGATGGATGGTCAGCCGTCTCTTTTGTTAAGAAGCCTATTAGCTAAATGTTCCAGGGCAAGTGCTGGACATGTCTTCAATGAGACATAACGTTTGAAAGACATAGAGAGCTCTCCCTAGAATGTGAAGCCTATTTTGTCTTCTGAAACTCCCCTTCCTCCCTTCTAGCTAAGGATATGGTATTAAAGGTGATGTGCATGTGTGTTAAAAGAAATGTTAAGTTGGGGGGGGGGAGGGGGACTGAGGGCTAGCTGAAAGCTCAGGAGGAGTGGATATATTGCTTCCTTCCACTGTGCTCTCTTTCCACTTTTACATTGTGATTGAAAAAAATTACAAAAAAATGCATAAATTGCTGTTATCCTGACTCTAAAAGGAAGACAAAACCTTCCTGTACTGCTGGAACTTTTTGTTGCTGAAGGAAGGAGGTATTGTATGTTTTAAATGCTATTTTAGCAGCCTGTCTTGAACAATAGCAGAAATGTACAGATTTTTTTTGTAAAGACAGAAATGAACATAGAACATTCTCTCTTGTCCTCCATTCTTATGAAATGTGTATTTTTTGTTCTGAAGAAAGAGTATATTTTCCTCTACCTCCTCATCTCCTTTTTTCTTTCAGAAATGGGATAAATAGCCTGCCTCAAAGTAAGGCACCTTCATTCCCCATCTCTGCCAGAATTATATCCACAGTGATTTAGTTCTAGGAGTGCTAGGCTGATGTAGAGAATATTTATTGGTAGCTCAGGAACAGTCACGAGATCCACTTATTAAGCTGCCAGTGTTTCACTTTTCACCTGTGTTTTTCAAGCCCATGATGCACATAACTCTGTGTTTCTATTGTTCTGTCTAATTTTTAAAACTCTACTTTCAACTATTAACATACTGGTATGAGATTATTGTGGGTCCACCATATCCATGGTAATTTGATTAAAGAATGTTTCAGTGCATTTGCATTCATGTTGTTGCCATGTCATAATGTGGTGCATTATTTATTTATTTATTTATTTATTTATTTATTTATTTATTGTATCAGAAGCAAACCAAGGGTACAGTTGTAATGTATTTAAAAAGCACAAAGTTAAAAAAATTGGCATTATATTAAATGTCCTTTGACCAGAAGCTGGCCACTTGGAGTACCTCTGGTGTTGCTATAAGAAGGTCCTCCATTGTGCATGTGGCAGGGCTCAGATTGCATTGTAATAGGTGTTCTGTGGTTTGCTCTTCTCCACATTTGCATGTCACGGATTCCACTTTGTAGCCCCATTTCTTAAGGTTGGTTCTGCATCTCGTGGTGCCAGAGTGCAGTCTATTCAGTGCCTTCCAAGTCGCCCAGTCTTCTGTGTGCGCAGAGTCAGGTTCAAAACTTGTGATGTGCAGGTTTTGCCTTTTCTGAAGCCAGCTTGCTGTGGAATCATACATGGGTCTATTTTTCCCCTAATTCTATGCAAAACAAGTCTCTCCAGAGCTTTGTGGAGCATGATTGTCTGTTGTCAGTTGAAATAGAGGTATAGAACTCTGGATCTGGAGTGCACATTGTACATTGTGTTGTGATTTTGGTCCCTTCATACAGAATGCTAAATGGCCTTCGAAGTAACAAAGAAAAAACTCTAGATTGGTAACACTACCCTAAGATTCTCTCCTAAATTTGAGATATTAGATGATATATCCAGTTTTAGATTATTTTGTCATCCATGATAATCTGCCATTATTGAACTGTATACTTGATGCATGTGATTCATATTTATTGGTTATCCTATTATTTGGCTTTCTAGTTTGACCCTTTATCTGTTGAAAGCAAGAAAGCTGCAACTGTGGTACTCATGCTTACTTCTCCTGAAGAGGAAGTTTTGTCTAAAGCATGTGAAGCCCTTTATAAATTTGCAGCAAAAGGTTTGTTTTTCAACAATCACATTTCATTACATGTCTTATATTTCCATTCTTTAATCAATCTAGTTAATGGAGATACTTCAGTTAATAACTTCTATTACTGCTTAATATTTAATTGACAACAGTATGCAAAATAGCAGACAGAATTTAGATTGACATATTGCCACCTGGTGGTGCAGCCATTTAAACACTGAGCTGAAGAGCATGCTGACCAAAAAAATCAGCAGTTTGAATCTGGGGAGCGGGGTGAGCTCCCCCTGTTAGCCCCACCTTCTGCCAACCTAAAAACATGTAAATGTGTGTAGTTCACTAGGTACCACTTTGGCAGGAAGGTAACGGCGCTCCATGCAGTCATGCTGGCTATATGACCTAGGAGGTGTCTATGGACAACGCCAGCTCTTCGGCTTAGAAATGGAGATGAACACCACTCCCCAGAGTCAGACACAACTATACTTAATGTCAAGGAAAACCTTTACCCTTTATTGCCATCTGACTAGTAGAGTCATGTGACTCATGAACAACCTCTGTAGGGTGAGAATCAGGAGGGGAAGTCTTAGCTAGATGAATCTGATTCTGGCACGTATTTTATGAGACTGTACCACTGTCAAATGAATTTCAGATGAGGTAGTCTGCTGCAGAAAAAAACCAGCTGAGATTCTTATGACAACTTTCACTCATGCCCTGCAATCTGATGCTCTCCAGGTGTGCTAGACTACAATTTCCATCAGCCCTAGCCAACATGACCAGTGTCAAGGATAAGAGAGGTTATAGTTAGAAGGGTAGTATAAGCTTTTGTGGAATATACTTTATCAGAGTCTGCTGATGGAGTGGACTTCAATCCATGAAAGCTTTTATTGTAAATTTAAGGAGCCACAAGATTCTTTGATTTTTTTTCTAATGGAGTAGCTGTGAGGGATTATTATAAAGTGCAGTTTAGACCTAATTTCCTGGTAGACTTGAGAAAACAACTCCTCTTGCAAAAACACCCATTTGCAGAAACAGTGCTATAAAGCTCGAAATGAATTAACATGCACAAAGACAATGGAATAGAAATGGTTTGAGTCACACATCCTTAGTTTTTATGAACGTTTATATTATTGTTGGTATTCATCTTGTCCCTTAACGTTTTCTTTTTAGGTGAGGAAAATAAGCTGACACTTCTTGAGCTTGGAGCCTTGGAACCTTTGTTTAAATTAGTTACACATGAAGACCCTATTGTCCGCAGAAATGCAACAATGGTAATGGGGATCATGGCTTCTCACAGTAAGTATTCTCGTATGCTTCAGTACCATCTGCAGGTACTAGTGGCAGATTTCCCCAAGAAGTACATAAGCTTGTACTTGATTTAGTTTGAATCCACTGAACATATTTTTGAAGGTCAGAGATATAGGACTGTCCCTCTACGGGTATGAAGTAGGCTGCAGTGGGCTGCAACATATGACATGGGGGCTGTTTCATTGGCTTGCATCTTTGCAGTGGGCATGCTTAGGACTCCCAGTGGGCATAGCTTTATACAGATGGGGCAGGCATAATGTATTGGACTTTTCTTGAAGGCATTGGTTCATCAAAGAAGGGCAATACTAATCTTTGGAGCTGGATACTTTTGTTAGTAACCAATAAAATATCCAAGTGTAATGAACATAGTAACATTTCATAAGAGCAAAAGCTAAGAATCGGAACATATCTATGTTAATTCCTCAGAAGTAATGCTCTTCTCCCTGTTCTATTTTGTTAGACAAATGGCATTGCTCAGTAGTCATGGGCCCGTTACATTTGTTTAATTCGTGTTTACGTATCGTTTTGTTCATTTGGAAGGCACGGAAATATCAGTGAAACAAAAGGAAAATGGGAATGGTAACCGTTTGGTCAACTGCTCATTGGAGGAAGGATAGTAGAGGCAAAGATGAAGTACTTTGGCCACATCATGAGAAGAAAGGAAAGCTTAGAGAAGACAATTATGCTGGGGAAAATGGAAGGAAAAAGGGTCGACCAAGGGCAAGATGGATGGATGGGATCCTTGAAGTGACTGGATTGACCTTGAAGGAGCTGGGGGTTGTGACGGCCGACAGGGAGCTCTGGCGTGGGCTGGTCCATGAGGTCACGAAAAGTTGGAAACGACTAAACGAATGAACAACAACAAACCATTTGGTCAGCTGATTTTTGTTGCTTGGCTGTAGCACTTTGGGCCTTCTGGCAACACATGCACTCTCTTTCCAAGGAGAGAGTGTGTGTGACGATCAGGCCCAAAGTGCCAGCGCCTGCCAGGGTCTGCAGCCAGGCGCTGAACGCTAGCCATAAACAGATGAAGGGGAGTGTGGGAACCTGAAAATTTTTGCTTTTTTTTTTTTTTGGCCCTGGACAAAAAACCTCATTTGGAACATTGCCTGTTTTCGGGAGAGGTGCTCAAAAACGAAAACGATGCCTTATGAATGAAACAAACAGAAATGGATTGTGATTCTATACAAATGCACAAGACTATTGCTCACCAGGGCGTACCTGCCATGCCCTTGTCCCTGCTCAAATCCCTTATGTGGGCTTAGTATTTGAGCATTCTGAGAATGATCCCCTTATGTTGAGGGGCTTGAGATAATCAGCTATCATTCAATTTCTGCTGTATTGTATTCAGTTGTTCTGTGGGTGAGTGGATAGCTAGATGGAATCAGAAGTGGACCAAGTGCAAATGGATGACTAATTAGGTTCTTGTGGATTTTTTCGGGCTATAGAGCCATGTTCTAGAGGCATTTCTCCTGACGTTTCACCTGCATCTATGGCAAGCATCCTCAGAGGTGTGAGGTCTGTTGGAAGTAGGAAAAATGGGTTTATATATCTGTGGAATGGCTGGGGTGGGGCAAGGAGCTCTTCCCTGCTGCAGTTAGGTGTGAATGTTTAGCTGATCACCTTCATTAGCATTTGAAGGCCTGCCTGAGCCTGGGAAAATCTGTTGCTGGGAGGTGTTAATCTGTGCCTGGTTTTTTCCTCTCTGTTGTTTAGCTGTTATAATTTTAGAGTTTTTTAATACTGGTAGCCAGATTTTGTTCATTTTCATGGTCTCTTCCTTTCTGTTGAAATTGTCCACATGCTTGTGGATTTCAATGGCTTCTCTGTGTAGTCTGACATGGTGGTTGTTGGTGTGGTCCAGCATTTCTGTGTTCTCAAATAATATGCTGTGTCCAGGCTGGTTCATCAGGTGCTCTGCTATGGCTGACTTCTCTGGTTGAAGTAGTCTGCAGTGCCTTTCATGTTCCTTGATTCGTGTTGGGCACTGCGTTTGGTGGTCCCTATGTAGACTTGTCCACAGCTGCATGGTATACGGTAGACTCCTGCAGAGATGAGAGATCCACCCAGAGGAAAAGTGTTCCTGCCATACATCAAGGGAACCACTGATCGCATAGGGAAGCTGATGAGGAAACACAACATACAAACAATCTACAAACCCACCAAGAAAATCCAACAAATGCTACGTTCAGCAAAGGACAAGAGGGATCCTCTCACCTCTGAGGGAGTCACGGAAATGCTGGACCACACCAACAACCATGTCAGACTACACAGAGAAGCCATTGAAATCCACAAGCATGTGGACAATTTCAACAGAAAGGAAGAGACCATGAAAATGAACAAAATCTGGCTACCAGTATTAAAAAACTCTAAAATTATAACAGCTAAACAACAGAGAGGAAAAAACCAGGCACAGATTAACACCTCCCAGCAACAGATTTTCCCAGGCTCAGGCAGGCCTTCAAATGCTAATGAAGGTGATCAGCTAAACATTCACACTAACTGCAGCAGGGAAGAGCTCCTTGCCCCACCCCAGCCATTCCACAGATATATAAACCCATTTTTCCTACTTCCAACAGACCTCACAACCTCTGAGGATGCTTGCCATAGATGTAGGCGAAACGTCAGGAGAAATGCCTCTAGAACATGGCTCTATAGCCCAAAAAAATCCACAAGAACCTAGTGATTCCAGCCATGAAAGCCTTCGACAATACACGGATGACTAATTGTTTGACATGAACGGGATGGACTCATGGGGCCTTCTAGAACTGTCCTCATTATTGGCTAAATTGACTAGTTCTGCTGGGACTTCTAGTCCAGTAGCATCTGGAGCCTGCAGGATTCCTATCTAAGCCATATAGAGATAGAGAACTAAGGGAGGAATATTATCTGAATTGGGCTAAAAAAATTTGTGAATGGTGAATGATTTCCAGCGTGCCCTGGTCTGATAAAATCTTTTATAAATTGTGAAATTATCATTGGGATTACTCCACTACTTTCATCACGGCCCTGAATGTTTTGGGAAAACAGTTTTTAATGGAAATAAATCCACAAGGCATTACAAATCTGGTGTTTTTGAAATCTAGACTTTAGCATGAAAGCTTTTGCCAAAATGTCACCAAATGTAATGAGTGGGAATACGTGTGGTCTTCGTTCTCCAATAGAACATTATTAAGTATCCAATGTTGTTTGGCAAGCAATCTAAAAGTCTCTTTTGGAAGTTGTTTTCCGTTCTCTCCCTCTCATTTTCTTCATATTATATTTGCCCCATCGACACCCAGACAAGAATGTTCTGCCTTTGATATTCCTCCCAATCCGATACTTTCGGTCCAGCCTTATTAGAATTAAACAATAGCTTTAAGTCTGCATCACTAGTTCTGATTGCATGCTCTGTTACTTCGGTTAACAAAATATATTGCTTCATATGTATATTTGTTTCACTATAGATGATGTGAAGAAATCGTTAAGGCAGCTTGATGTCACAACTGCATTCATAGCTCGTCTGGCTCCAGAAGGTAACTTGCATTGCCCCTTTTGTGCAAATTCATAACTGCTTCTATCATTTGATAACAGGTTATTGTTGTATTATGCAGTTTTGGTGTGGGGGGGGGCATTTAAAATAAATATATGTACTTGTGCTCCCTCTGGTTGTTGTATAAATATAGCAGATTCAGATGGGAATGGATTAGGAGCTACTGGTCATTGAATTTCTAAAAGCATACTTCTCACAATCAAGAAACAAGCATTTGCTATGTTGGTTAATGTCTGATTATATTATTTTGTTTTTGTTCTGTAGAAGATGTGGTAATCCATGAATTTGCCAGCCTTTGTCTGGTCCATATGGCAGTTGAATATAACAGTAAAGTGCAAATATTTGAGCAAGGTGGATTAGAGCCGCTTATCAGATTGCTGGGAAGCCCTGACCCTGATGTGAAGAAGAACTGTGTTGAATGCATCTATAATATGGTACAGGTGAAGATTTCCCCTACGTTATTTTCATTGCAAATTATATACCACTTCTGTTAAATTAACCTGCCATGTTAAATAATAAATTTGTTACTGGTGGGGGCATAGTTTTCCTGGTATCCCATTTACTGAAACATCTTGTTCTCCATACTTCATAGTCTAAGGCATTGCTTCTTAAACTGTGAGTCCCAACACCAAATTGGATCCCCTTTGCCCAGTGTTGGGGTCCTGAAAAATTTGGCAACAGAAAAGGGCCTTCTTGATTGTGGCCTCCCGGCTCTGGAATACCCTCCCCAGGGAGATCAGACAGGCCCCTACACTTCAAACTTTTTGGAGAGAATTGAAGACATGGCTTTTCAAACAACCCTTTGATAATGGCTAATAGAACATTCAATAATTGAAGGACCTAACTTGGCTGAAGTTACTCTGATGTTGATATTAATTGATTTGTGGCTTGGTAATCTAAATGGATTTGTATATTATGGCTTTAACTTCTTGTTTTTAACCTTGTTATGTTTTTGTCATTTTATTTTGATCTGATATGGTTTATGTTAAATTTCATTGTCATGTTTTATCTTTATTTTTGGTTACTTTATACTGATTAGGTTATTGTGGTATTTTTATATTTTATGCTGTCCTGTTTGCATCATTGCTGTTTTGTAAGCTGCCCCGAGTCCCTCTTGGGAGATGGGGCAGGATATAAATAAAGATATTATTATTATTAGTAGTATTACTGTTGTTGTTATTATTATTAGTTTTAAGGTAAAAGTAAAAGTGGCTGTTTTAGATATTTACACAAATCTGCTGTGCAGTGTTTACAGTGGACTCTGAAAAAGATGCTTGAGTTGTACTTCATATAAACAAAAATCATTCTGTTTATCAAGCCTTGCAAGTGCTGATTCGTTATCAGTAAATGTTTGATTTTTATACCTATTTTATATACCTACTAGCTGTGCCCTGCCACGCGTTGCTGTGGCCTATAGTAAAACTTATCAAAGTTGAGGTAGATATCTGGACTATTATGAAAGAGAGGTACCTACCTATTCCTTCCCCCTTTTCCTCCCCCTTTCTCTCCTTTCTTCCTTCTCTACCTCTTTCTTTCTTTCACTACTTGGTTTCATCCTTCTCTCTTTCCTTCATTCCCTCCCCCTTTCTTCCTTTGCCTTTCTTCCCTCCCTGTTTGCTTCCTTCTTTCACTTTTTATTTCCTTTTATTTCACCACCATCATAACAATAACAATAATGCAATGCATTGCCTCTGGGACCTGACACCTCTCCCATTCCTCCAGGGTCTCATAGGAACAATAGCATAATAATAATAATAATAAAAATAACAACCTTTACCCGCCACGTGTTGCTGTGGCCAATCTTCCCTCTTTCTCTCCTTCTTTCCCTCCTCCCTTCCTTCCTTCCTTCCCATCTTTCCTTCTCCTTTCTCTATCTCTTTCCTTCCTTCCCCCTTTTTCTTTCTTTTCTGCTGTCTCTCTTTTCTTTCCTTCCATCTTTCCTTTTCTTTCCTTTTCTTCTTCCTTCTTTCTCTAACTTTCCTTCCTTCCCCCTTTTTCTTTACCTCCCTTTCTCTTTCTTCCTTCTTTCCTTCCTTCCTGTCTTTCCTAGATTTTGACAGGGCGGGAAGGGGCGGGGGGGGGGTTGGAGGTGGCGTGAAGTAAAAGGAGGTAAGATTGGGGTGGGGGAGTGATGGAGCGTGGGGTTGCGTGTGTGTGTGTGGCGGCGGGGGGAGTGATGGAGCGTGGGGTTGCGTGTGTGTGTGGCGGCGGGGGGAGTGATGGAGCGTGTGTTGTGTGTGTGTGTGCGGCGGGGGGTGGGGTGCGTGTGTGTGTGTGCGGCGGCGGGGGGAGTGATGGAGCGTGGGGTTGCGTGTGTGTGTGCGGCGGCGGGGGAGTGGGGTTGCGTGTGTGTGTGCGGCGGCGGGGGGAGTGATGGAGTGTGGGGTTGTGTGTGTATGTGCGGCAGGGGTGTGTGTGTGTGCAGGAAGCGGCGCGGCGGGGCTTGGAGTGGGCATGGTTTCCGCAGAGGGAATGTTGGCCGGAAGGGCATGTGCGCGCGCCAGGGAACTTGCGGCTGGGCGCCAATGCGCATGCTCAGTTGTTTTGCCGTTTTGTGAGTGTGTTGTTGTGTTGTTTTTCATTTTGAGTAGATACGTTTGTACCTTGTGGGTTGTGTTATGGGCATGGGAATTTTGGTTAAGTTTCGTTGGGGTTTTTTTGAGTTTTGTTTTTTGCCGTTTTGAGTGTGTTGTTGTGTTGTTTTTCATTTTGAGTAGATATGTTTGTACCTTGTGGGTTGTGTTATGAGCATGGGAATTTTGGTTAAGTTTCGTTGGGTTTTTTTTGAGTTTTATTCTTTTGCCGTTTTGTGAGTGTGTTGTTGTGTTGTTTTTCATTTTGAGTAGATATGTTTGTACCTTGTGGGTTGTGTTATGGGCATGGGAATTTTGGTTAAGTTTCGTTGGGGTTTTTGAGTTTTGTTGTTTTGCCGTTTTGTGAGTGTGTTGTGTTGTTTTTCATTTTGAGTAGATATGTTTGTACCTTGTGGGTTGTGTTATGGGCATGGGAATTTTGGTTAAGTTTCGTTGGGGGATTTTTGAGTTTTGTTGTTTTGCCGTTTTGTGAGTGTGTTGTTGTGTTGTTTTTCATTTTGAGTAGATATGTTTGTACCTTGTGGGTGTGTTATGGGCATGGGAATTTTGGTTAAGTTTCGTTGGGGGACTTTTGAGTTTTGTTGTTTTGCCGTTTTGTGAGTGTGTTGTTGTGTTGTTTTTCATTTTGAGTAGATATGTTTGTACCTTGTGGGTTGTGTTATGGGCATGGGAATTTTGGTTAAGTTTCATTGGGGGGGTTTTGAGTTTTGTTTCCTCGTTGGATGCCCCTAACAAATTTATATATATAGATATGCTTAGGGTCATGTAAAAATTTCTCAGCCCCAAAGGCGTACAAAATGGAATGGTTTAAGAAGCCCAGGTCTAAGGCAGTGTTACCCAAAGTGGTGGTCTTGGACCGATGTTGTCAGTGATCTGCTGACACCATCTAAGATGCTTAAAAAACAATGAGAGAAGTCATAGTTTCCTAGTCCGATATCCATTTAAATGTGGTAAATTGTAATGTCTGCTATCTCCAACAAAGCACTTGGCTTGGGATGATAGGACTTGTACTCAAACACACCTGTTGAGCATGAGTTTTGGAAGTCCATGATCAAGGAATTGACTGAACATTTCACTCATTTGTGTGTAGGAATGTTCTTTTTCTGACCATCTTCCTAGACCTAGGTGGGAATCAGCTTTGTCACCAATAGCACTGCAGACTGCCTGTTACATAGGCGGAAACTAAGAGGTCTGCTATCTATTTTTCCATTTCTGTTTAAAGAAAAATCTGTCATATTGCTGGGTGCACAGATCCAGGTTCTACTTGCAAGAGTTATGATGTCCTAGATACCTTTCTGTAATTGGGATGGTGAGATCCATATATGGATCCTATTTGCACTGGCCTAGAGTAAGTTACTTAATGGCACATCTAATTGATTGCAATGAAAGTTATTTCCAATCAGATGTGTTCAGCAGAAGTGTAAAGACAATAATTTTCAAGATAGAAATGTCTAAACCCATCATCACTTCACTGTGCAAAAACATATTGTTTGACCCTTCCAAAGCATGGAAGGTATGTTTTTGAGAAATGGGTTTTCCTGTATTCTTGCATAACATATCATAACATAACATATCATAACATATCATGATATTAGACTAACTCTTGGTAAATGCTTTTGACAACTTTTTCTTATGTGAAGGAAGGTTATTGTAACTGGCTGCTTTCACAAGCAGTGCTAATATCACTATATTCTGACTAGCAACAGAATAGCACATTTGTATGCGAATTCTTTTCAGCATCTAACAGTCTGACCCCCAGTTGGTTTAAGCTGAAACACTCGTATTTAAGCTGATTTAGAACTACTGTTTTCAATGGTATCAAACTGGCTTAAGTCCACACACTCCAATTTAACTGTGTTGTGGATTGATCTATAAGTGAATCAATTCAGTAATGAATTCAATTTACAGCACAATCTTTTCTAGGGCACCAGAGCATGTCCTTATTCTGAATCACATCTTACTGTTTTGGCTTCTTTTACTATCCAACTGTCTTTGTTATAAATATATCTGGACAACTGCACCTGGTGCTTGCTGAAATCAATACGAAAAAATTGTACATAAATATAATTAAGATAGTATTTTTTAAATTTAAATGTGTTTATTTTTACCATTTGAATTCTGAATGGCAAACAAGTATTCTTTGGCGAAAATATACTACTAGAAAACATTGAAATATCTAGGAACACAGTTTGTGATTTTCAAGTGCCTAAGAAATACCTTCTTTTTTCACTCTGAATAAATATTCAGGATGCATTTTGTTGAACTTTTTATAAAATTCACCTAATGCTGTAGAATTTTTCTGATTTTTTCTTGAGAAGTATTTATTTATTCATTTTCTGTATCTATATACCCGGTTCCTCACCCCTGGGGGACTCAAGGCAGTTTACAACATACTAATAGCAAAAATCCAATGCCAACATGCAATTAAAAAAAAATCATAATAACTAATCACTACATATAACTATGGCTTAAAATCATTAAAACCATTAAACATAAGTCATAAACAAAATTTAAACATTCAGACAAAGCATTGAAATCATCCTAGTATAAATATTAAAATCACATAATCCAAAAATCGTACACCATAGCCATTCCGATTGTCATTGCACATGTTTCTTAATTATTCTTTTTACTGCATTATTTTACTAGCCAAAGGCTTGATCCCACAACTACATATTTATTCTCTTTCTAAAGGTCAGGAGGGAGAATGCTGATCTAATCCCGCTGGGGAGGGAGTTCCAGAGTCGAGGAGCCACTACTGAGAAGGCCCTGTCTCTCGTCCCCACCAGTCACACCCGCAAAGAAGGTGGGACTGAGAGCAGGGCCTTCTCAGAAGATCTTCACCTCCGTAATGATTCATAAAGGAGATACGTTCGGACAGTTAAGCTTGGCTGGAACTATTTAGGGCTTTATAGGCTAAAGCCAGCACTTTAAATTGTGCTCGGTAGCAGACTGGCAGCCAGTGGAGTTGACATAACAGGGGAGTTGTATGCTCCCTGTATCCCGCTTCCAGTGAGAAATCTGGCTGCCGCCCATTGGACTACTTGGAGCTTCCAAGTGGTCTTCAAAGGAAACCCCATGTAAAACACATTGCAGTAATCTATTCTCTGTGTAACAAGAGCGCAGACCACCGTGGCCAAGTCAGATTTCCCAAGGTACGGGCACAACTGGCACACAAGTTTTAATTGTGCAAAAGCTCCCCTGCCACCACTGAAACCTGAATATTCAGTGCAATGTATAATATTTGAGACTTAAAATGTAACATTCATTGCCTTAATAAAAAAATTAACTGCATTTGAGTTTATATGTTCATTTTACAGAAGCCACAAATTAAACATTATTGTTTATTTACATCATTTTTGTTTGGTATTTAACTGCAGGATTTCCAGAGTCGTGCTGCAGTTCGTGAACTAAATGTGATTCCTCCATTGCTGGACCTTTTAAAATCTGACTATCCAATTATTCAGTTGTTAGCTCTCAAAACTTTAGGTATCATTACCATTGATAAAGAAACCAGAGTGATGCTGAGAGAAAATCAAGGACTAGACCACCTTTTCAGGATACTAGAAACTAAGGTACCATCTCTTTTAAATTATAGGTGTCACTGCTTCAAGAAATTTTACATAGTTACATATTTACATGCATTAATTTAAGTTCATATTGAATCAATCTGCAGGAATTAATAGTTACATATTTACATGCATTAATTTTAGTTCATATTGAATCAATCTGCAAGAATTAATGTGGAAGGAAATGTAACACTTTGAGAGATAGGAACATTTTTTAAATTTTTCAACAATAATACTGTGCATGTGTTACAGTATACAATGTTCCTCTTCCCTATTGTGTTGGAAATAATGTTCTTTAAAAGACAGTTTTTGTTAAATATTTGTATTAGACTGATTTTATTTGTTTTCTCCCACTTTCCTCCTGAATGGGATCCAGATTGTCTCACTCAGGATTTAAATAAAGGTGTATTAATTAAAAAACACAATAAAGTCATCAAACCAATTAAATAAGCAACCATTTTAAAACATCAATACTTTAAAACTGTATAAAACCATTTAAGACCAGAGCAATACAAAGGCAACACCTCCCATCCCCCCATTAAAATATTTTCATCATAGCTACTTAATCACCAAATGCCTTTTTTTTTCAAAAGTCTCTTATCTGTTGGAAGGAGAGTAGGGAAAGGAACAACTGGTGGTGCATCTGCACTGTAGAGTTAATGCACTCCGACATCTGTTTAACTGCCATGGCTCAGTGCTGTGGAATCATGAGGTTTGTAGTTTGGTTAAGCACCAGCACCATTTGGCAGAGAAAACTAAAGACCTTGTAAAACTACAATTCCTATGATTCCACAATGTTGAGCCATGGTGGTTAAAGTGGTGTCAAACTGCTTTAATTCTGCAGTATAGATGCACTGTTAGAATGTGTGACTTGCCCAAAGTTACCTGTGTTTTTGTGCAGGCTACTGACATACTGACCAGGTTGCTTCATTTCACATGTTTATATTGTTAGTTAGGGAGAAAATTATTGATGAAACATGTTGAATTGCTCTTCCTTTTTGTAATATAGGAACTTATTCCTATGCTTTCTCTGTTACTTCTGTCATTGGTACCACTTTTTCTGCTTTGTCAACTAAGGTATAATGTATTGTCGAAGGCTTTCATGGCCGGAATCACTGGATTGTTGTAAGTTTTTCGGGCTGTATGGTCATGTTCCAGAATCATTCTCTCCTGACATTTTGCCTGCATCTATGGCTGTCCTCACACCCTCTGAGGATGCATGCCATAGATGCAGGAAAAAGGTCATGAGAGAATGCTTCTGGAGCATGGCCATACAGCCCAAAAAACGTAGAACAACCCAACTAAGGTATAGATGAACTATTGATAACATTCATGAATATTGAACCAAAAATGTCAGCATATAATTTCTATATCTTCTTGTAGTTCTCATTTAATGCCCCCCCCCCTCTGTGTTTTTAAGGAATTTAATGATCTTCATGTGGAAGCCCTTGGAGTGGTGGCAAATTGTCTTGAGGATGTGGAGACTGTGCAACTGATTCAGGAGACAGGGGGTCTCAGAAAACTACTTGCATTCACTGAAGTTTCCACTCTTCCTGATTTTCAAAGAAATGCAGCGAAGGCCATTGCTAAAGCAGCTTATGATTGTATGTCACTTCAGAAATCCACATAATATGTCTAGAGTTTGGAAACGTCATGCTGGTTGTGGGATTCTAGAAGATGTAGTAAATCCAAATTTTCTCAAGCTTTGAAATCTCATTGGAGGAGCTAATGTGGCTAAAATTTCCATGTCATGGTACAAGATAAAATTGGATCTCAAGTTGATCAGGTAACAGTGATTGAAGGGATATCCTGCCTTAAGGTTGGAGAATTTACAGGGATGACATTAGAATTTGATACACTTGGGCAGCCATTGGACTCTAGCATTTCAGCTGAGTCCATCGCTGATTCTTTCCTGGGGACCTTCTTGGCATTATTAGCAATGTCTTGTGAACAAGACCCATAATCCCCATGATGTATCTTAAAACTTGGGATTATGAAAAGTCAAAATATGACTAAGGTTCTAGAACAGAGGTTTCCATGAAACCCCAAGGCAGTGGTTCTCAACCTGTGGGTCCTCGGGTGTTTTGGCCAAGTCGAAGAAATCCCAGCCAGTTTATCAGCTGTTAGGATTTCTGGCAGTTGAAGGCCAAAACATCTGGAGACCCACAGGTTGAGAACCACTGGCCTAGAGTTCCACAAAAACATCATTGAAGTTTATCCAAAAATCTTTAAAATCTTTTTTTTTAAAAAACTTTAAAAAAAAAAGATTATCCCAGAGTATGAAGATCTTATTGAAATTAAATGTACCTCTGCTTTAAAAACAAAGTTTGAGTATCTTTACTTCCTAACCTGCATTATACAAAACACTCAGGCAATAGGAATCTGTGAAAGACTTGTGGGTCCATAGTGCTTAGGGTCAGAGTTAGGGTTCTGCGGGGGGGGGGGGGGGGGGGGTTTCATGACCAATAAAGTCTGGGAACCAGTGCTCTAGAACTTCCCATAGCTCTTCTTAATAGGACTGTTGCCAGCCTTCTCTAACCACTTCATCACATCAGTTAAATTCCACGGAGTCCTATACTTAAAATCCAGTAACTCACTCTGTTCATCACATTAGTTTCAGTTCAAGTGTAGGGTACAGCATTCTTTGTGTATTTAAAGTGTGAGGGCCAGCATTCTTTTCCAATGTTTCTGGAGGTGGTGTGGAAGTGGATTCTTTGAAATTATTCAGATGTTTTGCCAAATGTGTAATGTGATGGCATTCGTTGCTCTCAGGTTCCTTCCTTCAGCAGCATGTAGTGTTTGGACAGAATGAGCATGCTCAGAACTTCTCAGATCTCGCCTTAGTAGGGATTTCAAAGAGAGGAGGTTTTTTCAAGAAAGATCAGGGAGAGGGATGGTGGGTGGAGGCAAATCCCTGCAGTGTGCAGTTAACCGCAGTGAAAGAATACAGAAAGAAAACTGAGATGAAGGTAGGGAAAACATCTGTTCCATTACAAAATGGAGTAAGACTGAGCTCTTCTCTGCCAAACATTTCCCTGCCTCAATGTGATGAAGTCCCAAGTGCCCCCTACAAGGCCTATCAGCTGTCACTTTGCCCAATTCCTCCACAAACAGGCCTCTCAGATCTCTTCTAGCTCTTGTCAATTGAATGATTTTTTACTAGGCCAACTTTCAGCATAAGGGTCATTTAGAGATCAAAACATGTTCCTTTCCATTCCCTTCTAACACAGAACCATTCTTGCTATTTTTAGGAGGACTTGGATAACTGGTTTATACAAATATTTAAAGGTAGATATAAGAAACACATTCTCATATAGGCACACACAAACAATACACAGCTTGCAATTGGTTGGGAGGAAGTATGCATATAGAACTGCTGCCTTGCAGTGAAATCATTCTGTGTGGCTTTCTTCTGAGTAAACAAATATAAGATTATTCTGCATATCTTGAATATATGCTTGAACCTGATTGCAGATCTTCCTCTTTCTTTCTTACACAAACTCTCTCCTCGCTTAATTGAAATCCGAAATAGTACATTGCATCCAAGCACCTTACATTATTTTACAAATGCAGCATATAAGTGTAAATGAATACATACATTTAATCATGTTTGCAAAAGAAAAATATTTTGGATTCTATTCCTTTCTGTGTTTTACTTAACTGTAATATCAGAGTGTTTCTCTGCCTAGCAAATTCTTTCTATTCTCAGGATTGACTCCTCTCTTAATATTTGAGTTCACCATCTTATTGTAGCTCAGAAGCAGACATTTTTTGCAAAGATATATCAGACTTTAGCATATAGATTATTGCCCCCAGTGCATTAGCCACTTCATTTTATCTCATTATAATTATTCATTCCGTAATTCTGTGTTTATATGAACAGTTCACTGCCTCTGAATACGCTATGGAATTCTGTGTCAAGCACGCTAGGTGCTCCTAGCTTGCACTCAGCATGAGAATGCTGTTTAAATATGTCTCAGAGTTGCATCTATATTGCGATTTGTCAAGCTGCCATCAAGGCACAGCAGTGCCATATCACAAAATGTAATAATACGAAGAATAATGTACTCCTTATTGTCCATAATAGGATTCAGAGTCACTCAAGGGATTCTAGTGACATAAGCTGTGACAGACTTAGATGGTTTTTATTTCCATCATCTCTGGGTTATTAGTTATTTCCAGCATCTCTAATATTGTTCCATTAATTTATGTATATTTGTTACATACCGTTTTGAATGCAGGAAAGCTTCTTATTCTAGGTTATATCTTGGCTTTCCTGTATTTTAAATATGTTTCTCTTCTCCTATCTTTGTTTGAAATCTTGAAATTTTGGATTTATTTGTAGGTCCTAATGAATCCATAGAAAGTTTGGGCTGATACCAGTGTGCCTGCATGTGTTCTTTGCTGCCTAATTCTACAACTTGTTAGCAAAGATTCCCAAAACAAAGCAGGAGATCTATGCAATTACAATCTATACAATCACTCAACCCCTTCAGGATTGAGAAAAGTAGTAAACAAATATCACAAATAATAAATAAATAAATAAATAAATAAATAATTGTCGTGATTGCTACCACAAAACAGAAACTTGGATTAGTTCTATATTTTTCAAGGTACTTTTACCATGAGAATACAAGTTGTTTCAAAATAATCTAATAATGCAAATTTCCCCAGAATTTATTAATGTACAGTCTATATGGAATAATGTCTCCAAACATGACTTCCTTTTCACTGTAATTGGCCAAAACTCAACTGGAAGACTAAGCCTTCCGGTGTTGTGCTGTTGCCTTTACATCTTACCTTTCAATGAATACCAGTCAGATCTAATCCTTTTTGAAAAATGTCTTGAGAACATTTATAAAGAACTCTTTTTTTTACTTGAATTTTGTTGCACCATTAGCTCATAATTCTTGCAGCTGTCCTCTACTGTACCCCAATAAGCTTGTTGAGTGCCACTTAACTTGGGAGTTTCATCTTATGGCATTATTTTTAGTTTCATTTTGGTTTGTCTCATCCTACGATTTTCATGGTAAAAAGGATTTAAAAGGAGTTTACTGTTCTTCTTTCTCTGTAGTACTAACAAACATTGAGTATGGTGCCACTGCCATTTTTCTTTGAGATCCTCCACTAATGTCACCATCTATTACTACTGCAGTCGAGTAACTATTTGGCTTACTATTATTGTTATGATTTCTATCCCACTTTTTTTCTCTAAAACAGTGGTTTTCAACCTTTGGTCTTCCAGGTGTTTTGGACTTCATCTCCCACAATTCCTAATAGCTGGTAAGTTGGCTGGGATTTCTGAGAGCTGATGTCCAAAACACCTGGGAGACCAAAGATTGAGGACCACTGCTCTAAAAAGCGACCTAAAGCAGATCCTCAGCAAAACCCTGTCTGACACTGGAGACTCTTATCAACAGCAGTCATCATAAGAGCACGCAATCCCATTACCATAGAAAGGTAGCTCATTTTACTGTTTCATTTATTTTCTATGAAATGTTTATCTCTACGTTTTGGAGATTTATTGTTTAAATCTTGTAAATCACTTTACTTTAAAAAAAATAGTGTTATATAACATTAAAATGTAGTACTATAAAGAATAATGTATTTCATATTACTTATTCCTTTTATTATAATATTGTTATGTTACCTTAAAATAATATTATACAATGCGTATATTAGTTTTATATGTACTTTGAAAAGAAAGATGTGCTGCTTTTTCTCTTCTTTTTTTACATTCTTTTGCTTGGCTGTATTCCCTAGGCATTGTTAAAAATAAGAAAGAGTGCTATAGGCTACAACTCAATATCATGGTTCTGTTACCTGTGACCCTGTATCTCTGGATATAACTGTCAGTGCCAATGATGATTTTTCTTTTTCTTACCTTTCTTTGTAAATGAAATCAATATAGTTTCACTACAGAAGTTTCCCTTCATCTTTCAGTGACAAGTTGGTGTGAATGCAGTTGCTTGACAGAAGAAAAGGGAGAGGTTAGAAGTATCAGATTGACTGCAGTGATATGCAGGTGGTTTTGATCTATTATTTTCCCCCAAGGGACAAAGATTTTAAACATCTAAAAATCTGTAACCAAATTAAGTTGTACCCAAAGTATTTTGGCTGTTGCAACCTGCAGCTACCACAGCTTCTAACAAAGTGTTGGAAAGCTCATTGAGATTGTAGTCCTGTAGAGACTTGTCATAGAATCAGCCTTATTGAAAACAATGAGACTTCCTTCTGAGTGGATGTGTATAGAATCCCTCCATTGTTAGTAATGTTTAAATGGCTGTGAATGTTCTTCCTCTTGTCAGTCTTCAGTTGCCGATAAGCTGCTTACAAAGATGAGTAAGAATAGGCATATGTAAAGTATTTCCAATGCTTTTTGTAGCTGCAGTTCCCTTAAATCTGTGGTTCCCAACCTTTTTTTTAAACAGGGACCACTTGACTAGGGACCACTTTGACCAGGGACCACTCTCCAACATTAGTACCAAAAGGGTTATAAATCAATTTTTGGTCAACTTTAGATTCAGTTTGGTTATTTGGGGTGCTGATTCAGAAAATTACATTGGATAGACCACATCAGCTCTAGTTTCTGATGCAGAACATA